CCCACTGCCTCATCCCACTTTTTTTCTCCCTCAGCTGCTATTTCCCCACCCCCCCACACCTTTTCCAGCCTTTAAACCACTTTTCCCCAGCTCTCAGGGTTGTGCTTTCCTACTGCCCAACACCAGCCCATGGGTGAGATGTTTATACCCCTGGGACCTCTCTTTATTTTTATTTATATTTTCCCTCAGCCTGCACCTTTGCTGCACCCTCAGACCCACACCCTCCCAAAGGATGCCCCATCCATGCAGGGATTTCTCACAGCGAGCAGCTAACGTGCCCAAAAAACCCCAGCCTCGAGATTTTTTTGGCACTAGCAGGGAGCGGGGACAGGGTTTTATTTCCACAATTCTTTTTTTTTTTCTTTTTTTATTTGTTTTCCCTGTTAGAGATGAATCAGGAAAGCAAGGAAAAACAGCAAGGCCGGGGGGGAAAGGAAGCCAGGAGCAGGCTGAGATTTAATCTGGAAACAGCTTTATTGAAGAGTAAGAAGAGCTTCTGCATTAGTTTATACAAAAAAAAAATAAAATAATAAAAACTGGGAATAATAATCCCAGCTATTAGGCCAGTGTTGGAAAACCAACCTCCCCTCTCCCTGTTCCCAAATCGGCTGCCCTCGCCCCCATTTCCAACGGGATCTCAGCAGGGATCCCGTGCCCTTGGTTCATCTAACCCCCTCTTTGGTCACAACACCCTGGTCTGCAGCAGCTGGTGCCGTGGAATGTCCCCCCAGGGACCACGGATGTGTCACCTTGAGGGATGCTCAGGTGGTCCCTACCTGCTCTGGTGGCCATCTTAGGGGACTGGGTAAGGGGTGTTTGTGTGTGGAATCCCACCCTGGAGCACATCAAGGAAGGGTTTGCTGCCTGCGAGGGAGGAACCATGGCTGGTCCAGAACACCAGGAGATACCAGCAAAGCTCTTAGCCCAGGAGCACTAGATTTGGGGTGGCCTGGATGCCCGGCCACCTGGGAGCGACCAAAAAAGAAGAGAAAGCTGCAAGCAAATCTTTGGCTGATGGCAGGAAGGGAGAAGGCTGGGGGAGAGGGAAAGGCACCCCACCCCAGAGACGATTTGGGGTGGTGGTGGGACAGCTGCCTCTTCTGCCTGTGGCCCAGCTCAGCAAGGAGGGACGCCTGGTGTCACACTCACCGCCGTGTCTTCCTCCGAGCTGTCCTCCGAGCTGCTGATGACGATGCTGGCATCTTCTGCAGAAGGAAGAGGAGGATGCTGAGGCTTCAGGAACTCTGGTTTCTTGGGTTCACAGTGGTTTTTCCACGGGAGGACTGATCTGCTCTCCCCATTTTTTCGCAGCAGGAGGCAACCACCTCTACCAGGACCGTGACCTGCACAGCCCTTGGGTGCTCTCGGATGCACCCCAAGGTTGAGGGGGCAACCTCTCCACTGCTGCTTCACCCCCTGGACCTCTCCAGAAGATGCACTTCCCTCTGGTTTGCGGAGCTGAGCCTGGGACCCCTGGCTGTGGGACGCTGGAGAGGGACCAGGTGAGACCAGGGAAGGAAAAAATGTGGTTTGCTAAAAATTAGTGGGTTGTTTTTTTTTTTGCCTCCCCAGGAAAATCCAGAGCTCATGGAGCAGGAGGGCAGGGAGCCTCTCTCCACACCTACCCTGCTGTGCTCTTCCCTAGGCTTGGGGGAGGACGTGGAGGTAGGTACCCCCATCTCAGAGGTAGGACATGGAGATGGATGGAGCATCCACATCCACCCCTCGTATTTACCCCCTGGGAACCAGCTCCCACCCTCTGCTTCTCTGGGGGGGTTGACAGGGTTTTGAGTGCATGGGGGTGCACAGAGGCTGGGGAAGATGGAGGACCCCCATAAGAGTAAGGAGGAGAGGCAAGTCCCTGGTCCCCCACCTGCATCATCAGCCTGGTTGGTGGCAGCAGGGTTGCAGTTCTGGCTCGGCGTGGAGGTGCTGGGCCCCCTTCTGCCATCCCGCTGGTTTGAACTGGGATCGCTGGGGACTGCCATGCTGTCGTGCTCCAGCTTCAGCAGCTTGGGTGATATCTGGCTGCCCCTCTCCACGCAGGGTGACATCCGCTTGGGCCACGTGGTGACGGGGACAGCCTGGAGAGAGGAGAGCATGGGGGGGGTGGGTTTAAGGTGCTGAGGTGACATCTCCTGGTCCCCAAAGGCTCCTGCCTGGCTGAGGTAGATCTTACCGAGCTCGTGTGCATGTCCTTGAGGCTGATGGTGAAGGTGGGCAAGACACTCTGGCTCTCGGACTCAGATGGTTCCTCTTGCTGTGGAGAGAGCATGGAGCAACGTTAGGGTGAACCTTGAGGACAATGACCCCTCTGTGGGGCTGGAGTGTCCCCAGGGAGAGCCAGGAAGGGGGCAGAAACATCCTCAGGAGAGGGACAAGGGAGGAACAGCCCAACCATCCAGCTTGGCTCAAGGCTTGAGCTGTGGGTGTCTGGCAGGGCTACGGTTTCCCCTGGGGACAACGAGGGATGAAGCAGGATGGAGGTGGGAGCGGGACACGATGGCTCCAAAGCAGGTTCTTCTCATTTTCTTCAGGTTTGTCACTGATGAGGAAAGGGCTGGGGAGGGGAAGGCAGACCCTTGGGGGGAGGCTGGCAAAGGTCAGAGGAATGGTGGGGGGATCCTCGTTTGGGATGACTCAGGAGCCCTCCCTGCATGGCAACACACGTGGATGAAACACGGACATCTCACCAGGTTGTTCTCCGGAGCCACCTCGACCACGGGGACGGCTGGAGAATTAGTAGCTGCTTGGGAATTAGTACCTGCAATGGAGAGGAGGAGGGTTGCAATCCCAAATCTGAGCCCCCCCTGGAGCTCCCACCCAGCCAGGGAAAAACCTGCCCAGTAGCTGCAGGAAGGAAGCTCCGGTCTCCTGCCCATCTCCCAGAACTTTGGATGGCCCAAGGAGTTTAGGAGCCTCTGGGGACCCAGAAACCAGCATCACCAGAGCCTGTCAGATCGGTGGGATACCAAAAAGGGGTTCAGGCCCCGTAAGCAGAGGACCACATTTTCGCCCCAGTGGAAATAAGCACCCTACAAGAGCTGTAGGGAGGTGGTTCTGAACCCTGTGGAACCCTGAGCTGGGTGGTGGGGAGGGACTCTGGATGAGGGAGGGGAGCTACAGGATGAGGGGGAAAAGTTTGACACTGAAAGAGGGGAGATGGAGCTGAGATGTGGGGAAGAACTTGTTTGGTGTGAGGGTGGTGAGAGCCTGGCCCAGGTTGCCCAGAGAAGCTGTCGCTGCCCCATCCCTGGAGGGGTTCAAGGCCAGGTTAGAGGGGGCTTGGAGCAACCTGGTGTGGTGGGAGGTGTCCCTGCCCAGGGCAGGGGGTGGCACTGGATGAGCTTTGAAGTCCCTTCCAACCCAAACCATTCGATGAAGCTGGGCTGTGGGGTGGCTGGATCAATCCCCAGGGTAGGAACCCTGTGGAACCCTGAGCTGGGTGGTGGGGAGGGACTCTGGATGAGGGAGGGGAGCTACAGGATGAGGGGGAAAAGTTTGACACTGAAAGAGGGGAGATGGAGCTGAGATGTGGGGAAGAACTTGTTTGGTGTGAGGGTGGTGAGAGCCTGGCCCAGGTTGCCCAGAGAAGCTGTCGCTGCCCCATCCCTGGAGGGGTTCAAGGCCAGGTTAGAGGGGGCTTGGAGCAACCTGGTGTGGTGGGAGGTGTCCCTGCCCAGGGCAGGGGGTGGCACTGGATGAGCTTTGAAGTCCCTTCCAACCCAAACCATTCGATGAAGCTGGGCTGTGGGGTGGCTGGATCAATCCCCAGGGTAGGTCCTCACCTGGATGCCCCACGACGCGCTCCTCCAGCGCCTGCAGCCTGGCTCGACACTCGGCCAAGTCCTCAGGTGGCGTTCGGTCCCCGACCGCCGGCGGCTGCAGCCGCTGCAGCTCCTCCAGCGAGTCCTTGATGAAGGGCTGCATGTCCATCACCTCCTGCTCGGTGGCGTAGAGCTTCATCTTCTCCACCAGCCGCTCGCCCGCCTCCATCCGCCGCAGCACCCCCTCCACCCGCTCCAGCTCCCTCGCCAGCTCCCGCCGGCCCTGCTCCTGCCCGGCTTCCACCAGCCCCAGCAGCTCCTCTTCCTCCCGACGCACCAGCCCCACCAGCTGCTCCACGCGCTGACGGATCAGCTCCCGCATCTCCTGCCGGCCCCGCTCCAGCCGCGCGGCCTCCGCCTGCAGCCCCGCGTAGGTGGCCTCCAGGCCCCTTCTCTTCTGCTGCAGCCGCCGCCGCATGGTGCCCAGCTCCTCCTGCCGCCGGTGGGTCTCGCTGAGGATGTCGCAGAAGGTGGCCTGATGGCCGTCCAGCAGCGCGCAGGAGCAGCACAGGGCCCTCTTGCACGTCCTGCAGTAGATGCTGGAAGGAAAACGGGAGCATCCTTCAAAAACGGTGGGGAGAATCACAGAATCACACCGGGGCGGAAGGGAGATCATCTCGTCCAACCCCCTGCCAAAGCAGGGCCACCCAGAGCAGGTCCCACAGGAACCCTGTCCAGGTGGGTTTTGGATGTCTCCAGAGAAGGAGACTCCACCACCTCTCTGGGCAGCCTCTTCCAGGGCTCTGCCACCCTCACAGGAAAGAAGTTCCTCCTCACATTGAGGTAGAACTTGTTATATTCAAGTTTGTGCCCATTTCCTCTTGTCCTGTCACTGGGCACCACTGAAAAAAGCCTGGCCCCATCCTCCTGACACCCACCCTTGAAGCATTTCTAGGTCTAGTTCGCAGATGACAGCAAACTAGGTGGGAGTGTTGATCTGCTTGAGGGTCGGAAGGCTCTACAGAGGGATCTGGACAGACTGGATCAATGGGCCGAGGCCAATGGGATGAGGTTCAATAAGGCCACCTGCCATGTCCTGCATTTGGGTCACACCAACCCCAGGCAGTGCTACAGGCTGGGGGCAGAGTGGCTGGAACTGCCTGGCAGAAAAGGACCTGGGAGTGTTGGTGGACAGCCAACATGAGCCAGCAGTGTGCCCAGGTGGCCAAGAAGGCCAAGGGCATCCTGGCCTGTATCAGGACCAGCGTGGCCAGCAGGAGCAGGGCAGGGATGGTGCCTCTGGACTGGGCACTGGTGAGGCCTCACCTCGAGGGCTGGGTTCAGTTCTGGGCCCCTCACCACAAGAAGGACATTGAGGTGCTGGAGCGTGTCCAGAGGAGAGCCACCAAGCTGGGGAGGGCTCTGGAGAACAAGTCATAGGAGGAGAAGCTGAGGGAACTGGGCATGTTTAGTTTGGAGAAGAGGAGGCTGAGGGGAGACCTCATTGCCCTCTACAGCTCCCTGAAAGGAGGGTGGAGAGAGGTGAGGGTTGGCCTCTTCTCCCAAGGGAATAATGACAGGAGCAGAGGAAATGGTCCGAAGTTGGGGCAGGGGAGGGTTAGATTAGATATTGGGAAGAATGACTTTCCTGAGAGGGTGGTCAGGCCCTGGAACGGCCTGCCCAGGGAGGTGGTGGAGTCACCATCCCTGGAGGTTTTTAAGAAACGTGTAGACATGGCTCTTCAGGGCATGCTCTAGTGCCCGAGATTATTGGTTTGTGGGTGGGTGTGATGTGGTGGGGTGTTGTGGTTTTTGTTTTGTTGTTGGTGTGTTGGTTTTTTTGGGGTTTTTGTATATATTTTTTTAAGGTTGGACTCGATCTCAGCGGTCCCTTCCAACCATGGTGATTCTGTGATCAGATCCCCCACTCAGTCTTCTCTTCTCCAGACTAAAAAGCCCCAAGTCCCTCAACCTTTCCTCATCAGAGGGATGCTCCAGGCCCCTCATCATCTCTGTAGCCTCTGCTGTCCCCTCTCCAGCAGTTCCCTGTCCTTCTGGAACTGGGAAGCCCAGAACTGGTCCCAGTGCTCCAGATGGGGCCTCCCCAGGGCCCCAAAGCCCTTGGTGCAGGAGGAACCCCCGAGGACAAGGCCCCACTCTCACCTGGAGACGTGGCCTTGGTTGGCGTGACAAGGACTGGAGCAAAAGAGGTTGGAGAACTTCCTGGTGTCTTCCAGGAAGCGGTGGGCCGAGTCGGCGCGAAGCTCCTCCACCTTCTTGGCCTCGTGGCTCCTCTTCTTGAAGAACCACTGGTGGTCGTCGAAGCACTTGGTGCAGAGGAGCTCCTCGCACTCCGAGCACCACACGGCCGCCGTCTCCCCCTGGCACCGGCTGCAGCTGGGACCACCACCGTCGCTGATCTTCTTGTAGATGCTGAGCCTGGCCTGCAGGTTGGTGAAGAGCAGGTTGTCCATGTCGGGGATGCCGCTGGCTTGGGGGATGGCCGTCCGGCAGATGGGACACTGCCCCACGGGCTTCATCTCGCTCAGGCAACCCAGGCACAAGGTGTGGAGGCAGGTGAGGAGCTTGAGGTTGGGCGATTCCTTCCGGCAGCCTTCGCAGCAGAGGAACTGGAAGTCATCCTCAGCAGCGGCGGGCGGGTGGGATGGAGGGGAGCGTGGGGGTGTACCCAGCTGGGGTCCCACCTCCAAGGGGACAACGGTGCCATCTCCACCTAGAGATGGGGGGGTAGAAATTGTGTGGGAGCTGGGTTGGGGGGACAGGAGGCCCAGTCCCACCCATGGAGGTCACCCGGTGGGACAACCTGCTTTACCCAACCCCACGCTGTGGGGAAGGGCTAGCAGAGCCGCGAGGTGGGCAAGCAGCCCCTCTCCATCCCCCCCCTTGCCAAGGGCCAGCGGGTGGCAGCACCCTGGCAGTGGGGGGAGGAGATTCTCTGATGGCTGCAAAGGGTTGTGCTCCCCCCGGAGGGTCTCCTCCCCGTTCCCCACCCTCCTTCCCCGGGGGAAATTTTGGATTCCAAACCTTTGG